GACTGATAAAGTGATTATGGGTGCAGCTACTCTTGGTCCTGATGTTGGATCTAAGCTAGGGGTTAGCAATGAAAAGAGATAAAGACTGGTTTTCCCAGCAGTCGCTTACTGTATAAATAATTATTTTTGTGAGTTCAGTCAAGAGCTGGTAGTTCACTTGTGGTTTGACAATGGATACAAGTGATGTCATGCCCTTAAAACAAGCAACTGTCCCTTAGCTGGAGGCATGTGCCATTAGCTAAAAGTCTGGCACTTAGCCAGATCAAGCCTTTTATAAATGCTTACATCCCCTCGGCTCATTTGTGATTTTCTGTTTTGAGCCTGTGCCCTTACTCCTCAATCTCTGAACCACACAGAAGTAATACACTTGAGATGCATTGTATCCTGCCATTATAATGCTCCAGAAAGTGCTCATAGAGTACAGTAGCCAGCTATTTAATCAATGCCACTCCCCCACTCCCACTACAGGCAAAAACAACAACAGCAAATATTATTATTATTATTATTATTATTATTATTAATTCAATCACTGTTTTCAAATCACAAGCAGTTCGTACGGATTTTCGAAAACAATTCAGATGATGATGTTGGAGCTGTTGGATGATGATTCTTGACAATTTGTGTTTCCATGGGTGCATGCAGAAAATGCACTGACCTCTGCTTCAAAAACAAGGAGAGATAAAAAGGTAATCCCACAAGTGTCTGCTAAAATTTTAGTTCCCGAACATTAATTCTTTCACCGTAAAGACCTTTTAAATGAGTCAAATCAAAGCAGTCCTTTTTCAACAGACTATCCGTATACTTCCTGCTGCTTGTTGACAGATACGCAAACATGCACATACGGACACAGACACGCTCACACACACACACACACACACAAGCACACGCGCACACACACACACACACGCACGCACAAAGCATTTAGGAATCTATGATGCTAATTCACAGCAGGGGAGAATTTCAGTTCCAAATGACAGGAATGGCCGTCATGGCAGTCAAATATGAATTTGTTTGATGGTAATGCAGAAGCCATGTCTGTTATGTGCGAGATCCTGGCACAGATTTGAATGTGCATGACGCTTGCTGTGACTTTCATCCTATTCTTATCATTGCTGTCACAGTTGAGGCTTGTTGCCTGGAGTAGTTTTCCTGACCCATGTTTTGAATATTCCTCAACAAAAACTGCATTGAAATCCCCAAGTTGTGGAAAATGCAGATTGACTTTGTTTCATGGCCACAGATATTTTGTTTTCGGCTGAGTCATTTTGCCACTTTCTTTTTATTCAATGCACTTTGAGTTGGTAGGGGTGATCAAAAAGAAACAGTTAGGTAAAATGTGTACATTAAATGTCCAGTGTCACCATGACAAAAGAACAAAAAACATGAAGGCTGAGCTACCATAGAGTCATGGTCATTCAATTACAAAAGATAAAATTGTACTGTGTGTGAGAAATTCACCAAGAGGAAAAATATGTTTTTCATCTATGTTTGTTATTACAGTGTTGGCTCACCTTAACATGAAGACTAGAAGACAAGAGTCTCGATTAGGCTACCGTTGTTACACTTTGGCACACCAGGAGATGTTGCCAATAAGTGCTCACATATTAGGCCAATATAGAGAGGGTTGTGAAATAGAAGTCAAAGCTTATTGGTGGAACACAAAAACACTTGTCATGAGGACCGAAGCCTGATTGTTGTGTATTAGCTGGGTGGCCATATGCTGTCTTTGTCAGATGGGAGTCCTCCCATGTTATGTTTTTAAAGCTGCTTCTGGGTTGGCTGTATAATGGTCTCCTGAAACGTCTTGTTTGCAGTCACCTCTCATACATTTTCATCACTCACTCAATTCTCTGCTGGAGCTAATTAACTCACAAGCATTCAGGGATTTGCAGGAAAAAAGCTTGGCTTCAGTGGAACATAGCCAGATGTTAACTCCTTACTCAGAAAATATGCAAGAAAAAAAAAATAACTTATGCTAATTTTAATGATAATGTTATATTGGAACAATCCTGTCAACTAGTGTTCACTGCTGAGTTAATTAATATGTATTTTCATATACATTATGTAAAACTAAAGTGTTTTAAACCCGTGATTCAGAAAATACTTGTGTTTAAATAGTCAAGTAGAATTTTGAGTTGAGGACTAACTTTTGCAAAATATTATGCATGCATCATTAATGTATTACTCTAATATATTATACTAATATTTTACCAAAGGTCTCTACTTACTTTGAAGAGCATAGATCCTTTCCCAAGTTAAGTTATGGTATGCTCCTGTATTTTTTGCTGTTGTAAGTGTATCTGTGCAAATTATTCTTGCATTTCCATTCCTTCTTTCCCCTCCCAGAACACAATCAAACTGGTAAGTCCACGGCAGAGACCTTCTCCCATTGACGCAGGAGGAGAAGTCAATGGCACATGACTCCTCTGACTCACATGACGACTGGCCCTCGCTTCTTTTACAGTATGTAGTCACACCGATCGCAAACTGCCTGTTTAGTTGGAGGATAACATGGTCAGTGTACGATTTGCTGGTACTGTAACATGCACTTGGCTGTCCAGGGTAAACAAATTAACAGTCAAATTTTTACAGGCTTAACCCCTATTATCCCCGCCGAGGTTGAGCCAATTATGCCTTGTCTTAGCGGCACTGTTATGAACTTGCACCTTTTTTTCCCAGTTAATTTAACTGGCACCTTTTTTGCTGGATATTTTAACTGTAATTTTACAATAAGTTTACAACAGAGTTCTGTGTATGTTAACTGTAAACCACAGTTAAATGCGCAGGACTCCACTTACAGTTAAAATAACCAGGAAGCAATGCATTAATTTTACTGTTAAATTCAGTCAGTATACAACAGTGTGTGTTAGAAGATTGTCTTAGCTGTGAACACCAGGCAATAGGGCTCTCTGAAGATTGTCTTAGCTGTGAACAATATCTTAGCTGCTAAGCCCCTATATTTTATATCTTTCCAACAAAGACATGAAAAACAGATGATTTGGATAAAGCAGATGGAGTTTGCGGAACAACACTTACACAGCAATATCAGATTGTGCTTTCTGCACAGTCTGAAAGTAAACTTGAAACTATTACGTACAAAATCCCAGTGTACATTATCGCATCCACCCAAGCGCTGAACATTTTGTGACCTCAGTTGAATGCTAAGATGGCTGAATGTATTTCAGCTGATTTTTTTGAGCGTTCAAATGCAGTTCTGCAATTAGATGGGGCTAAGGTTCAGAAAGTAACCCCTGGCCTTTCCACCTGTGGTATAATAAAAGCTTTGCTTTTGGCACTTTCTTTAATAGGCATGTGTTTGTATAATTTGCCAAAATTATAGCATGATTTTGTAAATTTTGCCATTGCAGGCATATCTCTGCTAAACGCTCTCTGGCTGACACAAGCAAAACAGAGATAATAAGAGAGAGTTGAAGGGGACAGATGGAGTAGACATACCGCTCGTTGCAGTCACCTGTGCTCGTAACAGTTAGGAAAGCTGTAAATATCACCAGCTCTGTTAACCATAATATCCCACACTGACAGGTGTGTCTGTATAAAAACATAAACACAGTGCTGTACATCCCAACAGGGGGTTGTGAGACTTGTTTCGTTAAAATTTCCTCCGTGAGCTTATTGGTAGCTGATTGAATATACAAACCCAAAACCAGTAGCTGACAATTGTTTGTTATTATTCAATTGCACGTTCAAGTTTTTTTCACCGAGCACAACCAACCCCAAAAAGACTGAGAGAGTTGAGGAATGCTCATCAAACCAGACAGGTGGGTGCCACAGCTTCCTGAAATGCTCAGTCATTCACACCACTTAGTGAACAAATGCGTGAGCTGATTGTCGAACAGTTTAAAACAACATTCCTCAACGGCACGCAACTACAGTTCGCATACACACTCAACTTTTGGGCAACCACCCAACGCAAAATGATGGCTCAGCAATGAACCAACACACCAGCAGGGGTGCCAGGGTCATAGTTTCATTGCCCAGTACAGCTACTTTCTCGCACATTGGTAACTGTCAGGAAATGAGTTGGTCAGATTTCTGTAAATGTTAGGTGGTGGTACTAGCATCATTGTCCCCACCCCCCTCTGTCTATCATTGAGCCTGGGCTTTGTTTCTTTGGGGTGAAATTTATTCTGTAGACCCAGCAACCCTGTTCTCCACTTGTGAATATACAAGTAGTTGGCAAGGAAAGTTTAGGAGGCGCAATACAGTACTCTGTGGTCGTTAAATTAAAACCGGACTTGGCAGCTGCTCTACATCTCAGGTAAAGCAAACACCCTCCATTATTCTCTGGAGCACACTAAACTTCTATCTGTTCTTCAGCCCATCAAATTTCTCTTAATGACAGAATTTTGCAACAAAGATAACCAACTGGTTTGTGATGGAATTCAATGAGTCATAATGCAGACAGATGCTCCACCAAAAGTGTTTGGGGGAGGATCAGTTAATGCCCACTGGGTTATGTAAATTTAATGCTACACAGACTTTGAATTAATTACTACAGTCTGCAAATACACCGTAACAATAATGAAAAGATTAAAACAACTTTCATGGTTTAAAAATTTGTACGTATATTTTTTTCTGTCTTTTGGAAGCTATTTAATTATTGAAAGCCTTTAATGCCTGTTTATCAGTTTTGAAGGAAAATGTGAATACTGAGAAATCAGCAAATCGATGTGTTTTGAGAAATGAGGTGCTGATAGTGCAATTTTAATTAAACAGCTCTGCCTGCTGGCAAGGGCTTATCTGCTGTCTATCCAATTTTATTGCAGTCTGTGGCTGGGTCAGTCATCTCCATCTACGTTTGCTTAAAGACATTTCGCCTAGAACTTTTGCCTAAAGCATGTTTCTTACAATTACAGCAATGGGTAAAAGGTGGTAGCATGTAGCAAGATTCATAGGTATTTGTGATGGCCAAGTCGAATGGCCTTGTTCTTGTCAAGAAAAAATGTACATTTTGCACGATACAAACACAGCAAAATTGTGGCATGGTGGCCAAGTGGTAAGGCATTGGTCTCGTAAACTGAAGATTTTGGGTTTGGTGCCCATCCATGCCTGACCTTAATGTTGAGTGAACAAAGTTATGTACAAGTCCTTGTCTTTGCACAGTAAACATACAGTACTATGTGATTTTGCTAACTCTACCCCAAGGGGTGGTGTCCAATAAATCAGAGTTTCCCAAACTTCCTCCAGTCCTGTGAGATTTAGATGTTTCCTTGATTTAACACACCTGATACAGCTAATCAGCTCATTGGTGGAGTACTTGATGAGATTAACTGGGTGTGTCAGATCAGAGAGACGCATCGAATGTGCAGAGCTGGGTGGGGAAACACTGGAAAAGAGAAAGTATTTGGTTCTGTTGATGTTTGACTCTCCGAGTCACCAGCCCTCCACCCAATGGCGTGGAGTGACAGTGGGAGACAGATGAGGTTGTGCTCAAAGAAAAATAAAATCATTGGTTCTGAACCATTTCTCTACATGTTGTGAGGCAGCGACACCTTTCTGCAGGCGTGACACCGCAGTGAAGAAGTGACAAAGCAGTCGTAAATTACGCCTGTTTTCTCTGGGTTTTCTCCCACGTTCATTTAATAAGCAGCTGAGCGATGTACCTGGCCGCCTGCGATACTGCCGGTTGTTGTCAGCATGAAACAGTAAGCAATCTGCACTATCATAGCTCTCCCGCAGCTACTGTGGCACTGCACTCTGGGAAATAATCACTAGCTCAAGCCTGAATGAATATACACAAGGTGCTACTTCAGTAGAAGGTGATAGCTCAGCAGTAACTCCAAATTCACAGCTACCAGTTCTGTATCAAGACAGAAATACAAAAAAACTATTATTCTTTGATTCACTATCTAAAGAAAAGTAGTTAAAAATTATATGATAGGATGTAATTTTTGACTATTTCAAAGCAGCCTATGCCACATACCACTGCAATTACCCCCACGTGTCTGTGTGAGTTAACACCTGGGCAGTGTTCGAATAATCATTTTTGCTTCTGAAAGTTCTCAACTTTTACAAAATGACCTGGAAGTATTTACATGGCAGCCATGATAAGTGCTGCTCAAATTCACTGAAAGCTAAGGAAGGGTTCTTCAATGCTTCCTTACTTATTTTGTTTGGTATAGGGTTCACTGGATTATCCTTTACAAAAAGAAAGGAGATAATGCAGACACACAATTCCTTGCAGCGGCAATGATTAAGTGACAAACCATCCATCCAGCCATTTTGAAAATAAAAGAATATGATGGGCAAGAGGCACATGATCCCATCACCTAGTGTAAGAGCATATGGATTCTCTTAGAACCACAGCTGTCCTTCCCTACGTCCTTATGGATTCTCCTTTACATACCTTCTTCATCCATTTACGTAGAGGTGCAGATCGTAGACGCTAGTGTCTATGGAACTGCTCAAATGATGCGCTCAGTTGCAGTATCCTATCAATATGTTGTACACCCAAAATGTACATTGAATATTCATGAGGAAGAGGTGCCCATAAACAGTTGAAAATATGGACGCATTAAGTCGCAACACTGTTTCCCAGGAATGGTATAAATTATGCTCCTCAATCGGGCCTCATCTGCAAACAGCCTATCATATTTGCCAATAGTCTCCCTTATGAAAATATCCTATTGTTCATTCTTAGCTATACTATAATATTTTGGCATTACTATAGTGTTAATATAGTTTGCATAGTATAACTAGAGTAGCACTAAAGCCATCACACTATCACTATATTATCAACACAGTCAACAGTACCATGATATTACTATAGTCCACACAACTGTATTTCTATAGTTTAAATAACTACAGTATGACTTTAGTCATACTATAGCGTGTCCAGGAATCTCCATTTCTTATCCATTGTAAGCTGTTACAAGTACCTTGAAGTAGTTTTTCAGATCACAATGGAAACAAAATAAAACCTCCGCCCAGTGCCTGAAAAGCAGGAATGCAGTCTGTGGAAAATGCACTGTCAGTATGCTGAATGTCTGTTTAGGGACATGTCGGCCTATAATCAGTTATTCATATTTTAATTTTTTATCCTTCTCACAAACATTCATTGCGTGAAAAAAGAGAAGGTACGATCAATCTACGAACTAACAATGCAGACATTTTCAATGAAGACCAAATGCTAAATTTCCTTTCCTTAAGCCCCGTCGCACTTATTCAAAATCAGCAAGAATCAAGCAGAACCAGCCGGAATGAAGAATTCGCACAACATTCCAGCGGGAATTTCAAATTGACCAAAATTCTTACAGCTTTGAAAGAATTCTGTTCGAATACTTAGAATGCACTTTGAACCCGCCTCAAATGATTCCTGCACATTCGGGGGGTATTAGCTCTCGATTTTAGCTTGAATGTAGTTGGAACACAGTAGGAATATTTAGAATGCTGTCAGAATGCAGTCAGAATATGTAGAACACACTCGAATGCCGGACGAGTGCGGTTCAATTGCTGCCTGAACTCCACCTGAAGTCTGGTTGGAAGGTACCTCGAATGCTGTACGAATTCACCTCGAATGCAGTCAGAACACTCCCGGAATGGCCGCCGAATATGGTTGGAACTTCTAAGAATTCAAACAGAATGCAGCTCGAATACTCAGAAAGTACTTAGAATGTAGCACGAGTGTCCCATATGCGTTAATTGAGTAATTGCTGACTACAGCAGGGGAACGTAAATATGCCACTAAAACTGACGCCGAATGCGTGAGAGTTAACAGGTATGTGTTTTTAATGAAAACTGGCCACACCTGATAATGTTGAGAGTTTTCGGAGTTTCTGTAATGGTAATTTAAATGAATGGTGGAAAACAGGTCATAACCAATCATTATTTTTCAGCCAGTTCACCAGCCGCCACTGATTCCAGAGGCAATCGAAAGATTCCAAGGGCATTCAAAGCACATTCCAGCTGAATTGTTTTAATATCGAAATAGATTCCTGCAGCAATCAAAATGCATTCGAGGTGCATTCTGGCTCATTAGAGGCGCATTCTGGCAGGATTTGACGTGGCTTTCCGTTTCGATTCTCCCTCGAATGCAATCAGAATGTTTTGAATGCTGTTGGAATGCCGTAAGAATATTTATAATGCAGTCAGAGCGCAGTTAGGATACAGTTCAAATGCCGTTCAATATTTCTCCACTTCGAATGCACCTGGAAAGGTTTGAGCAAGAGCAAAAAATTTGGGCCGGCCACATGAACGGGCCCGAATATTTGGAATGCACTCAAAATGCAGTCAGAATTTTTAGAATGCACTTCGAATATCCAGGAATATACAAAGAATTTTAATTCCGACGGCATTCCGCCTCTAGTGTGACTAGGGTTTTATATTCTAACACATTAAATGGAAAGCAAAGTTAAAATTGTTTCCCCTTTTTCAATTTATTTTGTTGGTTCTGAAAATGGGCTGATCCATGACTCAAAAGTGATATGATCTGTTCCATTACTTTTCTAATCTGTTGCGCCTTTTTTTTTTTTTTTACTGCCAGCATATGTCGTTGTCAATTGACGTTATGGCTTTATGCCAAAAATATTCCAAGAAGGGTTCTTTCGAACCAAGTCTCATCCCGTCTCGTCATATAATGACACAACCTGACCAAGCGTTGATATACAAAGAAAAAGGAGGCTTTTGGCGTCAGTTTAAATTACAACCCTATTCCGAAATAGTTGGGACGAAGTGTAAATTGTGAATAAAATCAAAATGCAATGACTTTCAGATCACATGAGCCAATATGTTATTTACAATAGAACATAGATAACATTTCAAATGTTGAAACTGAGACATTTTACATTTTTATCCACAAAATGAGCTTATTTCAAATTTTCTGGCTGCAGCAGGTCTCAGAAAAGTTGGGACACAGGCAAAAATGGGCTGCAAAAGCTATTAATATACAAGAAAATCAGCTGAAAGAACATTTAGCAAGTAATTAAGTTAACTGGCATCAGGTGTGTAACATGATTGGATATAAAAGGGATGTCTTAGAGAGGCTGAGTCTCTCAGAAGTAAAGATGGCCAGAGGCTCTCCAACCCATGAAGGTAAAAAAATTGCAGAATACTTTAAAAACAATGTTCCTCAACGTCAAATTGCAAAGGCTTTGAAGGTCTCATCATTGACAGTGCATGACATCATCAAAAGTTTCAGAGAAACTGGAAAAAATCTCTGTGTGTAAGGGACAAGGCTGAAGACCTTACCTGGATGCCCGTGATCTTCGGGCTCTCAGACGCCACTGCATCACTCACCAGCATGATTCTGTCATTGACATTACTAAATGGGCCCAGGAATACTTCAAGAAACCACTGTCTGTAAACACAGTCCGCCATGCCATCCACAGATGCCACCTAAAACTCTATCATGCAAAAAAGGAAGCCATTGTTGAGCATGATCCAGAAGCGCTGCCATGTTCTGTGGGCCAAGGCTCATTTAAAATGGACTGTAGCAAAGTGGCAAAGTGTCCTGTGGTCAGATGAGTCCAAATTTGACATTCTTGTTGGAAATCATGGGCGTCGTGTCCTCTGGGCTAAAGAGGAGAAAGACCACCCCTCCTGTTATCAGTGTTCAGTTCAAAAGCCAGCATCTCTGATGGTATGGGGGTGCATTAGTGCATATGGTGTGGGACACTTGCATGTTTTAAAAAGCACCATGAATGCTGAAAGGTATATAAAGGTTTTAGGCAACATATGCTCCCCTCCAGGCGACATCTATTCCAGGGAGGGCCTTGTGTATTTCAGCAGGACAATGCAAAAGCACATACTGCAGCTATTACAACAGCATGGCTTCGTAGTAGAAGAGTCCGTGCGCTGAACTGGCCTGCCTACAGTCCTGATCTTTCACTGATTGGGAACATTTGGCACATAATTAATTAAAAGAACAGTCCGTCAAAGCAGACCCAAAACTCTCTAGCAGCTGGATGCTTGTATTAAACAAGTGTGGGATCAAATTCCAATGGCTAAACTCAAGAAACTTGTCTCTTCAATGCTCAGACGACTCCACTCTGTGTTAAAAAAGAAGAGAGGATGCTACACCATGGTAAACAGGCCCCTGTCCCAACTTTTTTGA